TTTTTCATTATCTGACTGTCAGCTAGGTCTGAAATCCTGTTGCAGAGTTTTTCTAAGAGAAATTTCAGGCTGATAGCAGTTTCTGACTTGTAATTCAGTTTAGTAATGGGACGACAGTAGCCTGTGGTAGCATCAGACTTTTGGGGTGTTTATCCCCTCTACTCCATTCCCTAGGCAGTACCTGCTCTTCACAGGAGAGGGACATGCAAATAAGTAAGTTAACAAAACAAAGAGAGGAGAAGGTCTGTGTCTTTACCTGTAACATTCTTATGTATCCACAGTTTTGAGTGGCTTCCCTGACCCTGCATGTTTATCATGAATCAGGCAATTGAAAAACATGCTGTTTTATCCTTCCATTTTCTATGGCGTCATGAATTGTCCAGGAGAAGACGACAGGCCAATCTTCTGACTTACAAGATTCTGGGATCCCCTGTGGGCGTTTTTGCTCCATACAAAGGCTACAGAAGTGAGAAAGCAGCATTACTATTTTATGCCTTTTTGGTTGGTGAAGCTTTTTTCAGATCTGGCTAATGTTTCATTCTGAAGACTGATGCTGCTTTACAGAAAAAAGATGACTGGTTAAGTTCCTCCTATAACTGGAAAGATGAAATAGATATTTGGCATAAAGTGGCTTCTTTTCCTGAGTTTGCTGTTGTTCCCGTAGTTAACCACTGTAGTAATTCAGTAAAATACTACTTTGAGTAAATTAGTAAAACCCAGCTTAATTTAAATGTACAAAAATAGCTAAAGACGGCAAGTGCTTTGTAGTAGTGTAACGTCAGCTCATGGACGGAAAGGAAGTCTTGTGCAAATCCGAACCACCATTAATGTAGTGCTACAGCGCCAGAAAGCAGAGTCTTGAAAGTGTGAACCTTTTTCTTAATCATAGTGCTGAATTACAAGAACTTTTTCAGCAGTTATGTTTCTCTCTTGAAGTAGGTTGTGTAGGACCAGGTATCTCCAAGTACCTTTGGGAATGCCATAATTTTCCTATCACTGCAAAAGTAAACTGAAGAAATACTTTTCCTTGAGTCTTAAATCCATTCCTTCCTCACCTTGGCAATATCAGGATGTAAAAGTCATGTGGCTTCCTTCGGTATTCTCATGTGACCAGTGTAGGTTTTAAAAACACATGGCAATCCACATTTTTCATTTATGGTGTGTTTAGGCGGAATGAATGTTGTATCTTCACCTTATCTGCTGGAAGATGTATAATTCTACTGTGTTTTGGTTAAAGGGAGTGGTAAGAATATATAATTCTGCCTCAGAATTACCCTCTTTCCCATTCTGGAGACATTGTTCTAAAACAATTCCCTTAAAATTAAATAGTACACTTAAATAGCACATTATAGCAAATTAAAAACTTCCTTGGAGCAAAGAAGAACCAAAACTGAAAAACAAACAAAAGGAAAAAATAAATACTATTAGCAAGATAAAAGGCAGTGTCTTTGGTTTGATGGGGGAAGCTTTCTGGGTCTTGCAACAAAATAAATTTTTATTTTTGCTTCAAACCCTTTTAAGGACAATTTGTACATTAGGAAACAGGGCCTGAATTATTTGGCTATAGAAAGCTATGCTAGATCTGTGAAACCTGTTACTTGAAGGAAAATTTTCTTCAAATAATCACGGAGGCATTTCACTAAATTGAAGTGATGGTTTAGACAAAGTGTATTTTTTTGCTCAGGGATGTGTAAAGACATGTGAGTGTGTGTTTGTGTGTGAGCATCTGGGTAACATGGTATGATATGCCATTTAACACTCCTGTGACTTGTGATGTAGACGCATCAGGTTTTGTACTCTGTCAGTAACCTCATTAGAAATATAGAAGAGTTGTTACCATTTGAAGGTAGTAATTACTTTCTCCTACAGGACTGAATCTTAGTCTCAAATGTATAATAATCTAGCGGTAATTGCTGTTAATTGAACACTAATATCATTACACTTTCACCATTGGAAATGATTGACCTGTGTGTTGTGACAATTTTATGTAATGCACTTAGTGAACTGTTTTGAGATCTTTAGGTTAAAATACTATGTTATATAATACAAAAATCTAAAAGTCAGTATTTGTTTTTTAGAGGTAAGAATTCGGGAAGATTTTTATCAAATTAAATGTGAAGTTACCAATTCTTTTACCAGAGTTTTCTTGTGGATTACTCTGCTTAGAATTACTACGAACAAAATTAGGATGAATGTCCAAAACTTAGCCTTCTTCGTAGAGGAAGAAATGGCAAAGACTTTAGCAGTTGAAGTTACCTAAGATCACTGCAAGACTGATTCATTTTACCTCATCTGCCTCTTTGTCCTTTTGGTAGAGAGTGAATGGCTTATGGATGCTTCATTTCTCTTCTTCTCCATGTTTTTCTATTTTCACCTTTGTTTCGAAAACCTGGTTTGTTCTATAGAGGTTGATTGCCAGAAGTGTTTGCTGAAGAAGTTGTTTCAGTTGATGGAAGTATTACAATAGGTATGGGGTTTTGAGAGGGAAGGGGTGAATTGTAATAGAAGTGGTAATTTAGTCCATTATGTGGAATTACATATTCTATCAAAGTAACAGTAATGTTAATATTTATGTATTTATGTTACTTTTACTTGTTAGACAACAGCTTAACAGTGATAGCCAGGCAACCTAAAGTTTATACATGGAAAATAGGAAAGCTGAGCAGTAAGTAGAGAAATGATCACACCCTTTTATTGCCCCATACTATGATTTGCCATAGCAGAATGAGTCTGTGTTAGCTTTGAGCTCTTTAGGTCTATTTACTTCTAAACAGTATCTACGTTGTGCTGCTGTAATTGCACCATCCCATAGCTTTCCTGTCCCTAAATAGACAATGCAAATATTCCATCTTATAGGAGGGCATCTTATTTTTCTATACTTAATTTTCTAACTCAGCTTTGTAGCAGTTATTCACACTGGGTGAATTAGTTATCAAAGAGGAAGATAACTTTTTACACTTCTGCCTGACATCAGAAAAATCTTATTTTGTTGCTATCAAAACCTTTTGTTTATAAAAAGAGGATCGGAAACTTCAGGATAGAATAATAGGATAACTGTAACAAAGCACATTTATGAAGATCTGGATTCTGTATTTAAATTGTACACCCAACCTCCCCTGTTTTCTCCTTTGGCTTGACTCACGTGTCTCTAACACTTGCAAAAGAATTTGCTAGGGTGACAAAAAGTTGTTTCATTGTGTTTCTTTTGTTGTGTTATTAAAACAGCTGTTTTTCAAGAAGGACTATAGTGATAATATAACCTTTAAAATGTAAGTTTCAGAAGCCTTTTCTGTTATCTATTTTTGATATAATCCTCGATAAAAGCTTGCTTGAATGTTCTGGTTGCAGCCCTATAGTGGTGACTTAGTGTTTGTCTTCCATGTCTGGTGCAGCTTAAAAGTAAGTAAGACAGCAAGAAAATTCAGGGCTCTGATTGCAGCGTACAAATAAAGTTCTTACTTATTCAGCTACTTCCTAAGCTTTCTTTGAGCCCTACTAAAAAAAACCCAAAAAACCAAACCTTATATGTGTAGACATCTGTTATTCCAGTGTTTAGATACATAAAAGTATTACAACTAGCGTTTAATGATGCATTTTAAATGGATTAAATTTCCAACTTAAGTCACAACATAACTTGTTTAAATCCTTACTATTTCATTGTACTGCCCATAAGCCATGGGTTAGGGTCCATTTTCCTAGGCTTTTTACAGACAATGACCAGTAACAAAAAAAAATTTTCTTCATGCAAACTTGTTCTTTTAGATTCTGTTACCTGTCTATGGAATTCTTTTTTCAAAGAGCTTATGCTATGTTTTTCTTCCCAAAGGTTAGAATGTGAAACAGGAAAGGGTAACAAGTTCTGATGTAGGTAGTTTGATACCCTATTAACCTTTGTCAGCAACTGAAGAATGATTAGCTTTGCACCAAGCCTTGTTTCAAGCAATACATAGCACACTTAATTAATTTAAATACAGTTCTTTGGTATAGCACACCATGAAACCTCCTCCCTGTTTACCCTAGTCCATTCTATGCTCTAAAGTTGCTCAAGGGAAGCAACATCCTCCTTACGGTCCTCTTACAAACTGTTTTTTGTGGGCTGCTATGTAAAAACACTTTCCTACCTTGGACTGATTATCAGTCAGAAGTTCCTGCTTTCTGACGTGTTAAGGAACACATCCCCCAGCTGTCTAGTTTTCAAGACAGTGAAATAGACTAGTATTACTGTCCTTGAATGTTATATCTGCTTCAAATATCAGCAGGTTTGGAGGAGTCTTCAAAGCAGCATATCTTGCTATACAGCCCTATAAGGCAAGGTATTTGTATGAACAACACTCGTAGATTACAAGTCACCTGGGCCTGAATCTGTAAATAACTCATGTGGTTGAGCTGGCATAAATAATCATTTCTGCTTTTAAGCTGCATTATCAAGAATTATACATACCACACACACCCCCCACAAAAGAGACAAATTCATGGTCATGATGATGTCTTTGTAACGACTTCCATTCAGCTCTGGGACTGCTTGGATCTGATCACATGCCATTGCTCTCAATTTTGCAATCGATGTAAATTATACTATCCAGACCTAACTAATATCACTGTGCTTGATCCTTTAGTTACTGACAGCCAAGCACTACAGCCACGGGCTTTTTCTTGTTGGTTTGGGAAATCCTTTTACAAAACAGGAGATGTTCCGTCCCATGTAAGAGAATTCTTTAAATGGGCACCTTAAAATCAGCTAGTCCACAGAGACCATTGATACGAAGCAACCTTGCCTGCTGCGTCTCAAGCATATTGCTTTCTCCTGTGGATTTAAGATCCCAGAGGAATTTCTTTTGAAATAGACTGTGCTTTTCTGCCTGATCTTCCTCATATAGATCATACTGGTAGGTTGGAGTGCGAATTTGGGAAAATTACAGAGACTACATTGAAAGAAATACAAAGCTATGAACCTTTTTCCATGCTTGCTTACAAAAGTAGCCACTTTTGTAAGCCTCCAAATGGCTGATGCACATACAGAGAGAATACGAGACCAGATCCATTGGCTGGCCCAATTTGTCCCTAAGAAGCATCGGAGCTTTCAAAAGATTATGAAGATAGTAAGTAGAAAACTGATATGATGAAGCCTAGAGATTAAGAAAATGTACTTACTATTAATGGATTGTGGCCAGAAGAGTATTGCCAGAAAGACCTGCATAAAATTATAATGCTATTCAAGCTCAGAATTAGTTTTTAACACTGTCAGTAGTTTTCTAAGGGGAATGAAGAAGGAGAAATGATAGCTATTTTGGTATCTCCTCGGGCTCAGATTTCCTGGTTTTAGAATCCAGTATTATTCCCAGAAATTCCAGTGTTCTTATTCTGGAATCATTTTTTAAATACTTGTAGAAATAAGTGAAGAAGCGCTTAAATTTAGGAGAGATGTGATTGGCTAAAAAGAATTGAATGAGTGTTCATAAGATTTCTGGCAAATAATGTGAAAGTTGTTACAAGTATTCTTATATTCCCAGAAGGCCATGGGAAATGTTGACTGCTGATGTCAAAAGTGTATTGGACTGAAAAGTCATCTACACCTTCTAGATATTGTTTGTGTAATATTACAGCTGAACTAGTAGTTACATCTTAATGACCAGTTTGTACTGGCTGAACATACAGAAGTGGTAAATAAAACAATGCAAGATCTTGGACAACTTTATAGAAATAAGTCAGATAGGTAACTGAATAAAGTAACTGTCTTTTAAGATTTTTCTCTTCTACAAATGTAGAATACTTGAGCACCTGTTAGAGAATGTTTAGGGAACTGTTGGAGAAATACTTCAGTTACGACAGATTTCAGATGAAAGCTTTTGAATAGTAAGTTAGTCTTTTAGCTCTGTTAGCATTTTGATATCAGTTGGCCATAATTTCAGAGCTGAAGTACAAAAAAAAAAAAAGAATCAGTATCTGAATATATTCTTTTATCAGTTTGTCACAAGCTGTGACAAATATTCAGGGCATCATTCTTTTGGAAGTACACAAGCGCAATAGAACACAGGACTGAGCTTGATAAGATAGAAGATAATTTAAAAAAAAAAAAAATTACCCTGTTTCACAAGAATGTTGGCTTGTGTTTAGTAGAGTACCATTTCTTGTTATTTGCTGTGAGAAGGTAGGGACCCTCTGTGATTTGGGGATGCGTGGACATGATCTGGAAGAAAATACCCTTTGTTAGAACTTTGGAGATTTGGGTTCTGATAACAGAGAACGTATGTTCTCCTTATCTCTTACAAGACACACATTTGACACATTGAACTTGGAGGTTTTTATTTCCTCTTGAGTAAACAATAGTTGCAGTATAATATTTTGTAAAGTAATGAGCAGTAGCATCATTCTCCTGGACTGTCTAAAAAGAGGGGTGGGGATTGTATGAGTGTAAACAGAGCATAAATTTATTAAAAAATAACAAGTATACTTACTTCAGTATACCTTCACCTCATTTAAAATGGAAAGAGGTTTGTGTCTTCACCTCAAATGCAGACTAGACATAGAGTTGAATCCCTCCGTTTTTTTGCTTGACCAAGTTTTCATCTGTTGTCTTCTCTGTGTGTGTATGTTTGCACGTGTATATATTTCTACACAGATACATACATTCATGTATTTGTTACTGAAATGAAATTTGTTACTGAAATGTTACAACTTCCGGGACAAATTAGAAATAGTTCTGCTGTATTTCTTTACTTAACGTTATTTAACTAAATTTTAAGTATTTAGGAGGGTGATGGATTTATTAGGGATTGTTTTCTATTAGCAACTCCCAATTTTAGATGTTACTTTTTAAGGATCTCCATAATTTATAGTACAAATTGAACTAGAGACAACTTCTAATAATCTTGCTTTTCTTTTTTAGTAATAAGTTCTTTTTCGTTTGTGGTAACATTAAGAACTTTTTTATCAATCTCTCTGAAAAGCAAATTTCAGCCCTCCTTTCCATTCTCTCAGCTACCATCAGAGTCTAAATCTGTCAAGTTGGTTAACTAGTTATCATTTTAAAAGCATGTTTTATATACTCTAACATTGTACCTGAAAAATTAAAAATGAAAGCTTTCTTTAAAATGAGCTTAATTAAATACAAATTTTAATGTGAATGCTTCCTCCATTTAATCTAAATAATACTGGATTGGAGTAAGCATAATCTAAAATAAGGGCCCGTATGTGTGTTTATTAATTCACTTTCTGTCATAATATCATATTTAGCACTATTTGTCTTTGTTTGAACACACTGTATCATCAGTCATTCATAATTTACTCAGTACTCTTATTTATTCTCATTCATTCAGAGTTTACTTTAAGGTCTTCCCCAATAAATCAACATTACTGTTTTCTTCCTACACCATCACTAAGTTCATTCACATGAATACAGAGTTTGGTAAAATATCCATCTTTGAATATTTTGGGGTTTTACTGTCTTTTCTAACTTAATGTTCAAGTGTCCTGGGTTCAGTTGCTAATGAGTGGTTCAGTTGGTAGAGTAGATAGTAGGTATTCTGTTTAACAGTGTCTTTTAGCATGAAAGGTAGACAATATGCTGATCCATGTTGAGATCTATATACTTTCCATTAAAAAGTAAAGTTGTTTTCTGTTCTTCCTCATTTCTGGAATTCCCTGTAACAGTTGTCTCCTTTTTCCATCTTCACAACCTCCTTTGTGGTACTTGATTTTTCAAATTGCACATACACGTTGGTGATATGGCCAATATGAAAAATTATTCCTGTGAATCATGTTCACTGTATATGAGCTATCTGCAAACATAGAAAATGAAGTAAATTTCACTGTTTCGTTTGTTTTGAATTAGGCTCATGCACAGTTAGTTCGCGAAGTCGACGTAGAGAAGGTGACAACTTTTGAGAACCCCTATGTAGATGCAATAAGAAGCTTATGGAATGACCCCGGAATTCAGGAGTGTTATGATAGACGACGGGAGTATCAGTTATCAGATTCAACTAAATAGTAAGTACATAGTGGCTACAAACAACTGTATATCATTTTCTGTTTCTAACAAAGTAATTTTTACTTTTTAGCTTCTTATACTCTATGTCTGTGTACATGTTTGTATGCATATGCAGCACAAACATACCTGAGTATACACTTACTAAATTGAATTCAGAGGGTACTTCAAGGAGTGGAGTACGTCTGGTTTAGGATTATATCTGTGTTTGTTTCACAGAATGACAGTCTGTGATCATTTGAAGTCTTAAAGTAAGATTCTAACTAGGGATAGTTAATCACTGATGTTTTGGGGGTTTTTTGTTATACCTGTTCAAGCCCTTACTCTCCTCTGACGTACACTCACACAAATGCAAGCTTGACAAAAATACTTTCATGTAGTATGGCAGTAGTGAATACTGGGGAGTGCAATCAAGGTAGACCTCCATACATTTCATAAAAATTATAATGCCCCAGAACTCCTGTTTTCCCAGGTTTTCACCTTTTTCCTCACTGCTTTTGCAGTCCTGCTCGTGAGGTAAATAGTACTAAGCAAGGGTTCTTGCGTTTTATTGAACTGCCTTTCTTTTATGGAAACAAAGCCTAAACTTTAAAGAACATGGCTGCCAGGAAAACGACAGGAAAAGCAGTTTAAGTTAAACCCTGTTTGTTATAGATCAACAATAATAAAGATGCATATGTGACTAAATTGTGACTGAAATCTTATGCCTTTAGTTTCTTGGGGAAGGAATCTGATAAAATAGTGCTGTGAAATTTAACATTGGAATCTTAGGGCTGCCTGAAGGTTGCTTCCATGAAATTTGGTTACTCTTGAGTACTGTAGCATATAGCTCAGATAAAATTTCTCGTCTGTTGTCAAAGAAATGGATGATGGTAAGGCATGATGACCTTTTGACGTTGACCAACATTAAAAAATACAGCATAGTTAGTTACTAAAGCTGTGGCAAAAACCTCCATGGTCTCCACGTGAATTTTTGTATTAGCTATGAAAATTATTCTGATTATATCATTCCAGTCTCCCTTTGTCAGGTGTACATGAATGGAAACCTCTTATTGAGGAAAGCACAGAAGAACAGAAAGGCACCATGAAGCTCCCATTAAGCCCATTGGAACTGGGCTATAGACATGAGAGGTCTGGGATGACATTTATCTGCACAGTAGTCTGAGGATTCTTACCTAGCACAACACTTTATTTAGTCAAGACAAACTTCTTAGTATCTTGCTGATGCAATTTAGGCAGCTGAGGAGTTACAGATGCATGACATAGGTCTCCTCAGATTTGCTCCAATGCTATCACCACACCAAGTTCTTCTGCTATATTTGCCCCATGCATGGGGTTCCTGTTGTCCTATGCAGTTTGCTGTCCTGTGGAGCTGGTTACCTTCCCAACCTATCACTTCTATCATTTGTGTATGCATATTTTGGTGCAGAGTGGTGCAAAGTACAGTGGCATCTCGTATTGTCTGGATTCTCACTGTCCCCAAAGATACCATACTGTGTTTTGCTTTTTAGTGGTAAGAAAACAAGTAGAATATTAGATAAAGTGAAAAACTTCAGGGTGCATAAATGGTGAAAAGAACATTTTAGAGACAAGTTGCTGAAAATATACTTTCATATTGTTTCCATACTGAAATGAGCAGCAAGCATAAATAGAAGGTGAAGCAGAGCTTGTCTTATACTTTGAATTTCTTGTATTTGTAGGTCCCAAAATTATTTCCACAACAGATGTGATACTGTTTTTAAAGTTGAAATAAATGTCTGTATTCCGTGTGCTTGCCTTATACTTACTCTCCAAATAATCATCTGATGCTACTTCAGATCAGATTGTGCTGAGTACCATAGTTTTGATCTAATTCTAATGAAATTGTCACTATAGTGGATCTTTTGAATAGTATTAAAAATAGTAGGGAATAATTCATTAAGTAGCTATAGAAGCAAATTGCTAGTACGTTGCCTTGAAAAAGGGAAATGTACTAGTTGATTGGTTATTTTTCAAGCTCAACATGTTCAGCAATTTAACATTAGTTTTTTTCAGATTTGGTGGCTTTAGCTATAACTTAGTATAGTTCATACTATAGATTTCTGCAAAATCTGTTCTAAATTAGAATATGAATCACTGTATATGAGTCTTTAGAAGAGCCTCTCGTATATTTATGCTTGCAAGTAGAGTTTTTTCAGGTATGTAAGTCCAGTAAAAGCAATTAGCAGAAACCAAAGAAACATTGTTTCAAAAATACAATGTGTATCTTTAGCAATAAAACACTCAAGAGAATTTGCTAGCTTTAAATCCCTGTCACAAAGCGAGAAAAAAAAAATGCTTAGAACTTACTACTGGGATTCATAAGGCAGTAAGCCAACTAAGCACCTAGTGCCCATTGACTTGGTGAGCCTTAGTAATTTCTTCTGACTTGATGTATAAACCACAATGGTTTGTTGTCCACCAGATCTCTTGTGAGCATATGTGTCAATATGTCTTGTAAGCATATGTGTCAATATTTTTAAGCATGTGTCAATGTCACACATGTTCTTCATTTACCCCTTGCATGAGCCTCTCATCTTCTCAGTAAAGTTGAGTTGTGTTTTTATAGTAGTAGTATTTTCCAGTCTGTTCCCTGTATTGCTTTTTTTCACCCATCAGTGTTATTACACATTGTCTTCCTAAATCTCTTCCTCTGTATTTTCTGTTTCTTTTATTGTTTCTAAATTCTGTTTCTGGTTTCTAATATATCCTGTATGTTTCTATACTTCCACTTTCTGTCATCTTTGACCTGCTTTGTCATTGTTAGCTACACTTTTGATGTTTTTATACCCACTGCTAGTACCCTGAAAGTATACATCAGATGTGTGTTTACCAGAAAAGGTGAGGGTAGGGTCTAAGAAAGAAAATTTCCTGCATTGTGGGAGTTGATTTGAACCTCTTGGAGGCTCAGCAAATACATTCCATTCTCTTGCCTTGCCATTGGATGTTCCAAAGGTTGGGTGTTCATGTTGGTTTTAAAAGCAATTTCTAGACTTCTCTGTGGTAAAGTCAAGAGCACATCAGGTAAATAGGGATTATTCACTTCCCATATACATTACGGGGTGACTTAGCCACTTACTTACCACTAAACCACTTCCGTTTAAAATACTGTGAGTGTAGTGTGAGACAGATGTAAACCAACACCACACTGTGGATAGCCTTAAGTAATAGCTGTGTGAGATGAGATCATTCAATATGTATTGTACCAGGATGTCAAGACCTTAACCTGAATGTAAACAGGTTACCAGTCAACAGTCTGATTATATCATGGCTTTTCAAAGCCTAAAGAAAGGAGAGGCAACAGTCTTAACTGTTGTCAGTAAGAGAGACAGTTGTCGTAAGTAACAATTCACATTTACATGACAACTTGCAGAGCTTGGGTTGCAACTAGAATTTGTGGAGATTTATCAACATTTTTTCCCAATATGACACTAACGGCTTTCCCTTCATGAAGAAAAAGTAGGAAGTGTTTAGAACTGGAAAGTGTCCCACAGTCTTGTTGAAAAACTTTGTCTTTCTCTGGCCCCATGAAATGGAAGCATTATGTCATTGTGTAACTCCAACCTAGGACTTTCTAGTTGCTACACAAGCACTGAGGATATCTGTTTAGTTTCCCTTCCATGGCTGTGTTTTCTAACACTTCAGATAATTAAATATAATTTCCCTCAAGTTCTACCCCACTGTGTTAGGTATGCCAGTGGGTATTTAATACCCTACTTTGTTATTATTTAATGCGCTGCTTTATTAGTCATACATGCCATGGCATTCTCATACGTACATGAGAGTCCTTCAGGCTTTTGTTTCTGCATTTGCTATCACCTTTAACAATTCAGTTCTTACAGTTATACAGCCATGCATATACCTGTGATTATATGAGTTGAGTTAGCTCGACAGTTAGTACAGAAATGCAGATTCCAGTATTTTACCATGTAATAAGAGCTCCAGGGTTTGACTCTGAGGACATCTTCAGAAGATCACTGATTGTTAACAGGGAAGAAAGAGATGAATCCTGATGATGTCTGCTCGTTAAAGTTCATGTTTCACCTTTTGTGAAACCGTTGCATGAATTGTTAGTCCTTTGGTCACTTAGTTTTTGTATGACAGTATTCCATCTGAGTTTGAAGTTTTTCATAACTTCAGCTGAACAATTAATTCCTTCATACCTGTCCGTTAAAAATAAGGTTTTGCTTCCATGTTCCACTTCTGAAACGTGCATTTCGGTGGAATTACTGTATGCCCATAATTCTTAGGGCATCATGGGTCTGTGTGAGCCTTTCAGAAGGACTGATACTGTCCTATATTGAGACCTGCTATGTGGCTGACACTGATATATCAAGTTATGAACAACTGTCTATGTGATATCTGTGTAACAGTCATTTGTTGGGGGTGAGAAAACCATATGCTCATAATTTATAAGATACATAAGCACATCATTGTTTAATAAACATTTTAATACTGTTGATACTATTGATTCTTTCTTCCCTTCATTTGTACTTGAAGGTTCTAAAGCTATATTTGGGGGCAATTTGTGTTGCAGAATGGTAGATTCTGCTTTTATGTATTTGCAGTTTACACAGCCTTACTTGTGTAAGGTTTGCAGTAAGATAAAAACAGCAAATAAAATGAAAGTCTGAAGATTAAGATCAAGTACTAGCAGCAGAACCATGCTAACCGTATCTTATGCCTTAGATATAGTCCCCAAATATAAAAGGAAGGTCTGAAGAAAGATGGGACATGAAGTCTGCTGCATACCAAAGCATTTCATCCTATAGAAAAACTGAAGATTATGCAACAGAACTAGGGAAATTAAGAAAGGGAAGTGGGGTTATATAAAGCCGTATACACTATGTATTTCTTTCAGGATCCCTTTTTTCGTGCATACTGAACATATTTTTAATATCTGTATAATTTTTAAACCACATTTCCTATTGAGAAAAGTTTGCACAAGCATTTTTTAATTTGGTGACTTGCTTTTTTTAGCCTT